AGTTATTTGTCTGCTCATGGTTGAGACGTCCTTTCGACTGCAGGCCGTGTTGCTCTCGTTGTGACCAGCGTTGCGAGCCATGTCTTCTTTTCTTCCTGCTCGTTCTGATTCTGATTCCTCCCTACGATTGCGCACGCGCGCGCTGTGTGAGCGTCGGTGCGGGTCCTTCCTTTGTTCTTCCTGCTCGCCCTCGTCTTTCCTCCTTGCCTTTCAATTCCTTGCCGTCCAGCAGGGCGCAGGCAGGGACGGTGGTGCACGGGCGCGAAAGCGCAGCACCTTTGCCGCGGCGGCCCTTGGCGCAGCACGGTCCGAGCACTCTCCGATTAATTGTTTATGTGTCTCTCTTTCTCTCTCTCTCTCTCGCCTTCTCTCTCTCTCTCTCTCTTTGTTTATTTATGTTTCTCTCTCTCTCTCTCTCTCTCTCTCCCCTGCATACAAACACACACACAATCCTGTGGAACAAGCACACATACACCCCCCTATTGTATGTTTAACACGCTTCACCTTCTTTCCTTCTCTCCCCCACTACTGCCTGGCAGTTGCCCGCTTGCAGACTTGATATTCGGCTCGGCGGCGACATGCTTCGTGCGTAGAATTTGTAGTGGATTAGCTAGGCCTGGCCAGAAGATAACGCTGTGTCAACGCTGCGTTTCTGCATGCCTGAGGTCGAAGCATGATGCCCCAACGTATATATAAGCTTCCATGGCCAGTGGAAGCTACCATGGATATTCCCATGTCACTGCGGTGTCATGGCGATTGGACTGCACTGTGAAGTTGCTTTCCTATCAGCGACCCGTTCCAGAGACGGTTGATTTTCGTTCTCCGAACAGTGCTTGCATGTAGGCAGGCATCCAGGGATTCTCATTTCTGTTCTGAGGAATGTTCGGCTGAAGTGCCGTTCAGGCGGCTATGTTGCCGCCGTGGCCGCCCCGTCGCCGCCTCGTCGCCTCGTCGCTGCCCGTCGTTTGGGCCTGGCGGCTATGTTGCCGCCGTCGCCGCCCCGTGGCCGCCTCGTCGCCGCGTGCGTTGGTCTGGCGGCTATGTTGCCGCCGTCGCAGCCCCGTCGCTGCTTCGTCGGTTCCCTGTCGTCTGGGCCTGACCGCCTCTCTGGCGGCTGCGTTGCCGCCGTCGCCGCTCCGTCACCGCCAGGTCGACGCATAGATGGCCTAGAATATAGATTGCACCACATTGAGTCTCCTTTTTCTGGAAAAGTTAAAAAAAATCACGATGTACCCCCCCTCCGGACTTACCCGTTCACTTCCCCGTTTTGCAATTTACATCGGACTCTGCCACATCTTCCATCCTGAGTATGAATTCGTACAGTCCCAGCCAGGCCAGCATCCCCGTTTCATCCTCTACAAAACATATATGTGCGCTTTCGTTTCTGATAAAAAAAGAAACATCAGTTGGCAAAAACTCCTTGCAACAAAATTAGGACGAAGTGCACACGCGCGCGTCGTCGTGCGCGCCAGCCAAAAAATCCTTGAATAACCTTGGTTGCCGTAGGGATTTCAAACTCGAGTACCCCGAAAACAGATAAACACATATGAGTTCGCAACACGAATTTTCAAATGAAGCTTGCGCTCGCGCTCTTGCACATTCATACAAAGACCCATAAGTCTTCAACCTTTCCATCACATGCTATCAAACGGGCCATTCGCGCGCTTGTGGAAATCGTTTGAACGCCATTGCGCGCGTGCTGTCGCAAGAACCCCTTGCAAGACATGGGGCGAAGTGCATACGCGCATGTCGTCGCTCTCCCATGCCGAGATCTCTCAAACGCTTTAGGTTTCGTAAGGATTACAAATCCGAGTGTCCCGGAAACATGTTGCTTTGTTATTGCGCAGTGTTTGCATGTAGTGTTTGTTCCGTGCGATCTACATGGGTTTTTTACTCAGGGTCCTCGCGTAGCGCGTTCGCAGGAGCGCCCCCGGAGCACCGAGCACCGCAGGAGCACTTCAGGAGCATCCCAGGAGTGTCCCAGGAGCATCCCAGGAGCACCCCAGAAGCAACTCAGGAGGACCCCAGGGGTATCCCTGGAGCACCCCAGGAGCCAGGAGCATCCCAGGAGCATCCTAGGAACATCCTGGGAGCATAGCAGAGGATCCCAGGAGCGTAGAGCATCTGTGCAGTGTTGTCACGTAGTGTGTTCTTTGCGTCGTAGATTGTATGTGGTGTTTTACGCGGTGTCTATTCCACGGTCCGTGCGAGTTACTTAATGTTTTACGGTACAGTGAGCGGCTTGAATAAGGAACACTTACTTTTCAAAAGGGGCTCGGTCGTTCCTTAGGCTTGCATGCGTTATTTATAGTTCCTTATGCGTTATTTGTTATGTATCGTTCCTTATGCGTTATTCCGTGGGATAAAAACGGGCTTCGTTCCTTATTTATCGTTCCTTATGTCAGGGCGATGACTGTAGTGTCCTCGCGGAGCGCGCTCGAAGGATGGCCCCCGGAGCACCCCAAGGGGCATTGCACGGGCACCCCAGGAGCATTCTGGGAGCACCCGAGACGCATCCCGGGAGCACCCCAGGAGAACCACTAGGAGCACCCCAGGATCATCCCAGGGGCACCCAATGAGCATGCCAAGGGCACCCCAGGAGCATCCAAAGAGCATCTCAGGAGCATCCCAGAGCATCGCAGGAGCGTAGAGTAATTGCGTAGTGCTTTCAGTGAGTTTGTTTGGAGGGCGTAGCGTTTTAATGTAGCATTTCACCCTCCGCGCGTTGGCAGGAGCGCCTCGCAGCACCCCAGGAGCACCCCAGGAGCACCCCAGAAGCATCCCAGGAGCATCAGAGGACTTCCCCAGGAGCATCCCAGGAGCACTCCAGGAGCATGCATGGAGCATCCTGGGAGCGCCCCGGAGAATCCAAGGAGCGTAGAGTCCACATATGGTCTTGTTTTGAGGATGCTTTGCTGAGTCGGTCCACGCTGCGTTCAGAAAAAGAAAGGGCAGCGGTTTCCGAGTCGGAGATTCGAAGTGTGGTCCAGCGGTGCTGCCTGGACTTCTTCTCCGGACTGTCCGGGTCCAATTTGGTCCCCGTGACAATGCTTCGGACGAGGAGCTTTTCGTCTCCATTGGGTTTACGGTCGACATCTTTTGAACCTCAGCCGACAACGCTGCTTCCCCCCTCCAACTTCTGGTGGTGGTGGTGGAAGGCACGACGGGGATGCAAACGGCGAGGAGGAGGAGGAGGGGGAGGAGGAGGACAGAGGAGGAGGTGCTGGGCACGCCCATCGAGCCTCCGCTCGAATCACCTCCGGTGCATGCTCGGCTGCGCGGCCCGCCAGCGTCCGCCGCTCCCAGCTGGCGCCACGCCCGACGAGGCGCGCCGCCTCGGCTCACGGCTCCACGACCGGCCAGCAAGCGCCGCCCGCTTTGGGGCGGCCTGGCTCGAGTCCAGCTGCTGCCCTGCGATGCGCTCCAGGATTCCAGAGGTTTCCCAGACTCCCCATGTGCCCTGGTGCTCCGCACCAGCTGCGCCGCCAGGTGCTCTTGGGAATCCCGGAACGCGTCCCGAGCCGATCTTATGATGGCATCCTCCTCGCCTCAAGTCGTTCGTGCTCGATGGCACGCCTCCCACTCCTGCTGACGCCGCCCCCATCGGAGCCGCCGCCCTGCGGGAAGGCGCGCAGGGGCCGCCGCCCTTTCCCACACTGAGCTGGCACTGTAGTTTTGCGAACGCATCGCACCAGACCTGCGCTCTCAGTCTGCGTGTGCAGAAGAAGAAGAAGCGAAACCACATAAACATAAGCTTTTGGCGCTCCGCGCGGATTTCTTGGATCTGCGCTGGACCCCCCTCCCTGGCGCGCGGAGCGCGCCGGGGGCGGCGCCGGAGGCGCCGCCAGGGTCCCAGGCGCGGGTCCAAGAAACCCGCGCGGAGCGCCACAAGTTTGCGTTTGTGTGGCTTTTTCTCCTTCGAGTATTCGTATGGAGCTCCGTGTCGACACGCCATGTGTTGCGCGTGGCGCATCGGGGGCGCAGCGATGGCGCGACCTGGGCCCCCCCGCGGGGGGCCGGCCGGGCCAGCCGGCTCCCAGAGATGCCTCCGGCGGGCGACCGCCGAGGCCGCCAGCGCCCGCAGCTGGTGGCCCGTGGCTGCCGCCTCGCGAGGGGGCCGTCTGCGGTCCGGTGCCCCGCCCGCGCGCCATCGGAGACGCCGAAGTGATGTCTGAGTCATGCTCATTTTCCAGGTGTCACTCGCACGTTTGGAGGCATTGTCGCCGATGTCCCCCCCCCAAAAAAGACGAGGACGAGGAGGAGAGGGAGGAGAAGGAGAAGGGGGACAGAGGGAAGCTACATCTCGGGGGCCCGTTGGCGCCTCCTTAGGATTTCCTGGGAGCTGATTGGTAACCTCTGAGGGGTCTATTGAGGGTTTTTGGGGGTCCTCTGGGGGTCTTGGGAGTCTTTAGGGCCGTCTTGGGGGTCCCTTGGGCCGTCTTGGGACCTTCTGTCGGTCTGTTTGAGGTCCTCTTCCCCCTGAGGCACTCTTGACCTGTCTTCATGTTCTCTCGGGGGCTTGGCTATCTTGGTTTATCGGAAGCCCAAACATGCGAGAACGCGATGGATTGGGTATGGATTGGCTACCGAGACGGGTCCCAAGATCCTTTGGACCGATTGGACCCGCGAAAGCATCATTCGCACATTGATCCCATTGATCCCTCCCAAAAAAACGCATATTGATCCCAGCATTTCGGCTGATGATGTTGGCTCGCACCCGCCGCATGGCTTACGCAATGCAATGCAGTCGCTTGCATCGCGTGGCATTGGCTTGGTATTGGAATTGATTGGTATTGATGGGCAACCTGGCCATCCGGGCCATCCGGGCCACCCGGGCAACCGGGCAATCCCGAGCAACCCCGAGGACCGCCGAGGAACGGACAAGCCGAGGAACGCCAGGCGCCGCCCTTGAGTTCGGGCCCCACACCCGCCGGCGCCTTGAAAGACATTGCAGGAGAGATCCTCTGCCAGGCAGAGTCCAATGGGGGAAGATCGAGCTGGAGAGAAGGAATCCTCGAGTCTGCTTCGACCCAGGGCTGCAGTGCTCTTGGATGCGCCAGTGTCCTGGTTTACAAAGTCACGGGGCCATGACTCTCAGGCGGGGGAAAAAACACACGCAGACACAATGCATCGGCGATCCCCCGGAATTCATACGAAGATATGGGACGTGGGGGGGAAGACGAACACCAGGAAAATATGGGCAGACATAGGGAATCGAATTTGTGTATATTTATGAGCGTGTCCCTGGACCCCTTCAGACTCCCCCACCGCCGCCCGCCCTTCTCAGCTCTCCGTCCCCCCTCCTCCCTGCGGCCCCAGCCCAGCGGCGAACCGCGCAAGCAGGGCTTGTGCTTCACCTGCCCCAGCCGCTGATCGGATTGGTGCTGGGCCTCTCCTGATGCAAACCTCCGCGGAAGCGTCAGGCGCTCCTTGGAGCGCGGTCGACCCTTCTCATCCGCCAGAGGAGAAAGGTCCCCTAGGTGGTGCTGGCCCCCCCCCCCTGACGAGGTCCCTTTCCTTCCCTCCGCCGCCCGCTGCAAGGGGGTGGGGGACAACAGGAGAACTAAGACGCGCCGACTCGATATTTTCGAGGCTCGGGGGACTAGCTTTTCGTTCCGAGTCGTTTCCTTGCAGTCCTGGGGTCGGAAATTGGCCTCCAGAGGCTGACGACGACTACAACTTTAGACTCGATACCTGTGAGTTTCTGGAGGCGCAAGCTTGTACTGTACAGTTCGTATGCTCCGCAGTCAGATTCCCATACCTTCGACGCCTCGCATGCGCCCACAGGTCTATCCATGCGTGATTCTCCCCAGCTCCTCCTCCTCCTCCTCCTCCTCCTCCTCCTCCTCCTCTTGGGGTCAGGTTGCCACTGCAGCTCTCGTGAGCGGCAGCCGCACGGCAGATGCTGGGCGGCACATGCTGAGCTGCGCTGCGGAAGCGCCCCCCGCGCGGGGCATTCCCTCCTCCTCCTCCTCCTCCTCCTCCTCCTCCTCCTTGGTGCTGCTCCTCCTTGGTCCTCCTCCGACGACCGACAACTGCCAGCTGGGGCTGACGCAGCAGCTGTCGGACGCGGGCGCGCTGGAGTCGGAAGCCCTGGGGACCGACGCCGCGCCGCAGGATCACGCTGCCGCGGAAGCCCTGGAGCTCGTCGGCGAGGGGGCCGCCGCGCTGGCTCCGGAAGGCGCAGGCGTGCAGCACCCTGAGATCCTGGCGTTGCAATTTCTTCTCACCGGGCGTCATCGCCCAACGTCGGGCCCCGGGACCCTCACAGGTCGACCCGGCTCGAAAAATGGCACGGGAAGATGGGGTCCGGTGCTACGGTCGTGGTGTTTCACGATGTTGCAGTTGTTTCGCAACGTCGGTGTGAGAAGCGTGCGAAAAAAGTAGAGGTGTGCGTTGACGGGCAAGGTGTAAGAAATGTGCGAAAAAAGTCGTAACCAGCGTGACCCCCAACATTGATTAATTCATAGTGGATATTCAGCTATGTGGAGTAAGCTGGGTGGTGTCGGCTATGTTGGGCAGGCAGTGTGGTGCAAACTGCGTTGTGTCAGATCTGTGGTGCGAGCTACGCTGTGTCAGCTCTGCGCTGTGACTTGAGAGGTGTGAGCTGTTATTCGAGGAGGAGGAGGAGGAGGAAGAGGAGGAGGAGGGAGAGGAGGAGGAGGAGGAGGAGGAGAAGGAGGAGGAGGAGGAGGAGGGATGAGGAGGAGGAGGAGGAGGAGAAGGAGTAGGAGTAGGAGTCAAGCTAGCCAGCTCGAGCGAGTCAAGCATGGCATGCCCAGTCCCACCCGCCCTCCCACAACATAAGAAGCAAAGCTGGCACAACTGGGGGCCGAAGTCACACCGGCCAGCCGGTTTGGTACAGCTGATGCGGCCGCGATGGCGGTTGCCGACGGGAACTGGCGAGCGCGTGTTGAATGCCGCGCACGCATTGCCAGACGAGTCGAGAATGGCCCGGTACACCGCAGGAAGCCAGAGGTGGCCGTGTCGAGAACGGCCCGGTAAGCCGGGTCCCATTCCTGCCATGCATTTTGCGACGTGGACGACAGGACGTCCATGCGACGGTGCCAATGACGGCGACGACTCTAGAAGGATTTGAGCATGCGCTCGCGGCGACGCGCGCGCATGTCGCCCGCGTGGTATTTTTTGCACAGGATTCGCGGCCTGGGTGCATGACAGAGCATCGCGAGTGCACCGCGCGATGACGTGAAATCGCTGGATTTGACAGAATTCTTAAGATTCCTATGGTTTTCCTATGATTTCAGCAAGAGAGCCCGGGCAGGAAATTTGTAGAATTTGTATGAAAAAAGCATTGGGTTTTTGATGTTTTTATGTTGAAATGTTTGCAAACACACGGTGTTCGGTAGGATTCTGACATGAACGCGCGCGTGTGCTCTTTGTGGTATTTTTTGCAATGGATTATCGCCGTGGACGACAGGACGTCCATGTCGAGAGGAAAAAATAAGAAAAATGTTGATTTTGTATTGTTTTTTACAGGTTAGGATGGGACCACCCGGATGCGGCCCCTATCTGCCGGCCTGAGGGGGGAGTAGGAGTATATTCTAATAAGGAATAAGGATAGGAGGAGGAGGAGGAGGAGGAGGGAGGAGGAGGAGGAGGAGGAGGAGGAGGAGGAGGAGGAGGAGGAGGAGGAGGAGGAGGAGGAGGAGGAGGAGGAGGAGGAGGAGGAGGAAGGAGAGGAGGAGGAGGAGGAGGAGGAGGAGGAGATGCCATGCGACCTAGCAGAAGTGCGAGCTGCGTTGCGCAAGCTGTGCGGTGTGATCTGTGCTGTGTAGGCTATGTTGCCAGCCCAGGGCACAGGGCGCCCATGAGGCGGAGCGGACTGGACGGAGCCCAAGAGGAGGAGCAGGAGGGGGAGGAGGGGGAGGAGTAGGAGGAGGAGGAGGAGGTTGAGGAGGAGGAGGAGGCGGAGGAGGAGGAGGAGGGGGAGGAGGAGGAGGGAGGAGGAGGAGGAGGAGGAGGAGGAGGGGAGGGGGAGGAGGAGGAGGGGAGGGAGGAGAAGGAGGAGGAGGAGGAGGAGGAGGAGGAGGATCGAGGAGGATCGAGGAGGATCGAGGAGGATCGAGGCGAAGCCTCGGCGGATCCACCGAGGGCACGGCGGGCGGGCAGCGGGCGCGAAACCTCGACATGCCTTCCCCCCCCCCCAGCGCGGGGCGCCCACAGGGCGCCTGCACGCTTCCGTCGGGCCGGTCCCTCCACAGAAGGGATATCCGCCAAAAATAGTCCACAGGTAGCCTGGGGACGATCTCTTAGACTCTTACTTTTTACTTTTTTTGTCTATGTTGGGGCATTTTTTCTATTTTGGGGCTTCTATTTTGGGGGCTATTTTTGTCTATTTTGGCGCCTGTACGCTTCAGTCGGGCCTGTCCCTCCACGGGGGGGATATCCGCCAAAATAGTCCTCAGGTAGCCTGGGGACGATCTCTTAGACTCTTACTTTTTACTATGTTTGTCTATTTTGGGCCATTGTTTCTTCCGTCCAGAATCCGCCTCTAGGAGGACGTGCCCGACCTCTCATTATAGGCGGGGCACCAGCCGAAGCCCGACATGCCCATCCAGTTTCTTTTAGGGGAAGAAGCAGGAGCCCCTACAGTCAACCCGTACGACAAGGATGGGGAATTTTCCAAAGGGTGCCCTTGCATCCTTGCCTCCTCGGTCCATCATTCGCCACTTTCGTTGGCCGCCGCGCCCCGCTCGAAAAGCCTCGAGATGGGCGCCCGAGGCCCGCGCATCTGTGGCGTGCGTCCTCGTTGTACGGGTCGACTGCAAGCGCAGGCCTGCTTGAGAGGAGACGCGCGCGCTGGCGCAAGAGACCGTGCCAACCGTCGCAGAGCAGTCAGCCGCTTTCCTGCGGATGTTTTTTTTTCCTGGGTGCCGACCTGCCCGCCCTCCCAAGCGCGCCGCGGGCCGTGCAGGGCCCCCCTGCGCGGGCGGCGAACGCCCGCACCCCGTGCCGACGGGGGAGGGACGTCGCGAGGTCTGCCCGCCCGCCCGCGCGGCGCCCGAGAGCTCCACTGCGAGCGAGAGCAGCCGGGCGGGACACGGCTGCGGCGGCCTGATGACGAAGACGAGGACGACGTCGTCATCATCATCATCAGCATCAGCAGCATCCTCATGATCATCATCATCAGCATCATCATCATGATCATCATGCTCATCATCAGCATCGTCATCGTCATCGTCATCACCATCGTCATCATCATCATCATCATCATCATCATCATCATCATCATCATCATCGTCATCGTCATCGTCATCACCATCGTCATCGTCATCATCATGATCATCATCAGCATCATCAGCATCATGATCATCAGCATCATCATCATCATCATCAGCAGCATCATCATCATCATCATCATCATCATCATCATCATCATCATCATCATCATCATCGTCATCGTCATCGTCATCGTCATCGTCATCACCATCGTCGTCGTCAGCATCAGGGCCCGCGAAGGCCCCCCCCGCGCGCGCAGTGCGCAGGCGGCGGCCGGGTCGCACGTGGAGAGGGGCGAGTTCGCCGAGGCGGCGGAGAAGATGCGTGAGGCGGGCCTCCTCCTCCTCCTCCTCCTCCTCCTCCTCCTCCTCCTCCTCCTTCTCCTCCTCCCCCCCCCTCCTCCCGGCACGACGGTCTCGGAGGGAGTTGCGCTTGGGCGTGATGTGGCCATTGAGCGTGGGGTCTCTCTTCAGGCGGCAAGGTTTGGCCTCGGATGAGTTGCGGATGGTCTGCGGAAGAGAGAAAGAAACATACATATATATATAGAGAGAGAGAGAGAGACAAACAAAAAACAGCATGAAACACAAAGATGCAACGAATGGGGGAGAGAGAGAGAGAGAGAGAGAGAGAGAGAAAGAGGGAGAGAGTGAGAGAGAGAGAGAGAGAACGAGTCCCAGTCTGTGGGCCCAGCCTGTTTACTCCACACCGCACGGCCTCAGGACCCGAGCTAACTCGGGCGGGAGCGAGGACACCGTGGGCATGCTTTGTGTGTCCAGCTCACTGGAAGAGCCTGGACCACAAGGCGGCTGCAGGGTGAACACAGAACAGCAGCATGCATGGGACGAAGATGAGGAACTATAAAGGATGCTTGTTGTGGGCGGGTAAAGAGAGGAAGATACAGTGAGAGAGAGAGAGACAGAGAGAGAGAAGAAACAAAAAAACAATAAAACAAACAGAGCAAGAGAGAAAGAAAGAGAGAGAGAGAGAGAAGGACGGAGGGGGAGGTGCACGTCGCGCACAGGCCTGGCCGTTGAAACTCTCGGTGATCCTGTGCTGGGGCGTACTCGGGGAGGGGGGAGGAAGGAAGGGTCGGAACCTCGAATGAGATGGAGGGGGGGGACTCCCCCCCCGGAGTTTCTGGTTGGAGAGAACATGTGGCTGTAGGAGTTGTTTTGGGTCGCCGAGGGCGAAACTTAATCGAAACCGATCCAAAAAGGCCAACGGCGGGGCACGTGAAACTTACTAAGGGAAGGGAAGTTCCCAAGGGGCTCCACGCTCAGGCTCGTGAGCAGGGGCTCCACAACGAGCACCCGTCCTCGGAACACCGTCCGACCGAGCACGGGCGGGGGGATCCCAAGGCGCACACACCGGGACCTCGGCTTTCATATGGCGTGGTGATGTTGGCAGGGGCGGCGGAGGGAACGGCAGGTCAGAGCCCCGAATCATCAGGGGTAACTCGGGTCAGGGCTAACTCGGGTTCGTTTTTCGGGAATCCGAACCCGACTTACCCCGGACCCGAGCTACCCCTGATAATTCGGGCGTCCAGAGCCCCACATCATCAGGGGTAACTCGGGTCAGGGCTAACTCGGGTTCCTTTTTTCGGGAATCCAAGCCCGAGTTACCCCGGACCCGAGTTACCCCGGATAACTCGGGCGTCCAGAGCCCCACATCATCAGGGGTAACTCGGGTCAGGGCTAACTCGGGTTCCTTTTTCGGGAACCCAAACCCGAGTTACCCCGGACCCGAGTTACCCCGGATAACTCGGGCGCCCAAGCAGGGGGACGAATCCTGGGGGAACCGCCTCGTCTGTCAGGCGGTGGCGGCGTATGCCGCTCCCGAGCATGGTGCTCCGGTCCGGGCGGCGTGCGATCCTTGCAGCGGTCGCCGGGTGGCGTCTCTCGCTCTCGGGGGGGAAAGCGCCCTGTCTGAGGACCAGCGAGGGTGTACGCTGGCTCCCGATCACCGAATCACAGTGCTCTGGGTGCGCGTTCACCCCCGCGACGATTGCCATGTGCACCCAGACCCCAGACGATGTGTTTTTTCACCGCGCGGGCCCCCCCGAGGTCACGGCCCAGGAGGGGAAGAACCACACAGACACAAATAATCGTCAATCTCCAAGGAAATCGGCAAAATGTGAGAAGTGAAGTTGGGAGGGAAGACGAAATCGAAGAAAATATCGGAAAATATTTGGGATCCTGGGATTTGTGCATATTTATTCGTGTGTCCTTGGGCCCCTTGAACGATCGACCCCTTCCCAAGTCCGGCTCTTCACGCCGAGGCGTTTTCTGATGGTCACGGGGCCCCGTAGTGGGCCGAAGGGCTCCAGGACTTCAGATGTGACGCTGTGACACAAGTGCGCCATCGCAAAAAATCCCCCCCCGGGACCCCCGGACCCCGTCGTTCGGAGTTTTTTTTTTCCGAGCCGACTTCAGATCTGACGCTGTGAAGCAAATGCGCCATCGCAAAAGATCCCCCCCGGGACCCCCGGACCCCGTCGTTCGGAGTTTTTTTTTCCGAGCTGGAACGATGAGTGAGGGTCTTTGGGCCCGAAACGGGGCGAGAACGCCATTTGCAAGAACATTGCAACGCCAGGCTTTCAGGGAAGGCCAGAATTTGCCACTACGTCATAGTAACATCGACCCCCAGCGGTCTCGACCCATTCCCTGGGACCGGTCTTTTCATCCTGAGCGGTTTTTTGACGGTCCCAAGGCCTGGCAAGGGCTCCCAGGGGCCGAACATAGCGAGAAACCGTCCGTCCTGATCTTCTCATGACTCGAGGATGTTTTCGGTGCCAAATCGTGGGAGCCTGGTTTACCCTCTAGCGTCGACTGGCGTCAATTAGCGTCTGGAGTCGATGAGATAGCGCCGTTTTAGCGTCGGCTAGCGTCGATTAGCGCTGATCTAGCGTCGCTGAGGCGTCGATTTAGCGTCCATCCGCAAGAGCCGACGAGGTGGTCTGGGAGACTCCCGTGGATTGCCACCGAAGGGGCTGGGGAACACTGTCCGCCGCGAGTCCGTTCACGGCGCGAGGCGGTTCCCAGGCTCGGCGGCCCGCCCGCAGGGCGCGCCGCTTCGTGGGAAGGGCGGCGTCGCCGCCTCGTCGCCGCCCGCTGCCTGGGCCCGTCTGTCGGTCGCCGCGCTCGTTGCCGCCGTCGCCGCCTCGGCGCCGCCCGTCGTCTGCGCCCGGGTGTCGGTCTTGCGGTTCCGTGGTCGCCGTCGCCGCCCCGTCGCCGCCTCGTCGCCGCCCGCCGCTTGGGCCTGGGCGTCGGTCTGGCAGCTCCGTGCTCGTCGTTGCCGCCCAGATTGCACAGCGCAGATCATCGATTGCACGGCATAGGTTCTCCTTTCTTAAAAGAAAATGTATTGTACCCCCGTCCCCCCATCGGACTTATTGGCCCCCCCCCCCTGGGGTATTGCAATTTACATGTGATTCTGCCTTCTTGGCCATTTTCCATATGAGTTCGTCGCATCCCAGCCAGACTGGTATCGACCCCCCCTCATCTTCTGCAACAAACAATGCGCGCACACTCGTTTATTCCAAAAACTTCCAACAAGTGTGACGAAGTTCACGCGGGCGTCGTCGCGCGCGCATGTCTAGATCCTTCAAACACCCTATGTGCCGTAAAGATATCAAAATCGAGCATCCTGGAAACATGCAACAAAAACACATGGTCTCGCAACAATAATTCGCAATACAAGGAACATTTCGCCCGCGCTCTTGCGAATTCTTAAGAAAACCCTAGGTGTTTCACCATTGTCATGCAATTCGCCCAAACGTGTCTCTCAAGCGCGCATGTCGTCATCGCTCGGACACCCTTGCGCGCGAGTGTTGTCGCAAGAGTCCCTTGCAACAAAAAGGGACGAAGCACGCGCGCGCGCGCCGTCGTGCACGCGCGTGCGCCGTCGCGCGCGCATGCCGAGTTCCTTCAACAAATTGTGTTTCTGTCTGGATTTCAAAATCGAGTGCCCCGATGACATTTACACTTTGCATGGTTTTGCAACGTCAGTTGTGAACGAAAGCTTGCGATCGCGCTCCTGCGAGTCTGTCATACAAAAGTCACAGGTATGTCAACATGTCCACTCCATTCGGCCAAACGGGCCTTTTGCCCCACATGTCGAAATCATTCGAACGTCCTTGCGCGCGTGATGGGGGGGCACGATACGTGTCAAATAATACCGTGCGGGCCGCTCTCGTGCGTCGGCCGCGAGCATATGTCGAACTCCTCCCAAAACCTTCATCACTGACACGAGGACGCCGTCATCGTCGTCGTCGTGATCAGCATCGGCGCCGTCATTGGCGTTGCGGTCGTCATCGTCATCATCGTCACCTGCATCGCTACTAATATCTTCGTGTCTACCGTTGCCGACGTTGCCATGATGCTTCGCCCGCCCGAATCGCCGACCCTCACTGAAGTGTCCGATGGGAAGTACCCCGCGGTCAGCGCCTCCGCCGCCGCGCCGGTCGCGCCAAAAAAGCTGGCTGCTGCGCGCGCGCGAGCATGCGCGGGCTAGTTCTGCCGTAGAGATGCACCAGCCAACGCAAAGCGCTGACGGCAACCGCCGCCGCATAGGTTTTGTAAACCAATTTGCGGGCGGGCGGGTGGGATGGCTACGCGAGCAGTGGTTTTGACAACCAATTGCAAACAGCAGTTAGTTGCGCCACGTAGACATGCGCTGAGTAGATTGCAACTCGCCTGTTATCCTTTCTGGAAGTGAGTTTCAATCTACCCCCCCCCACACCTCCTCCCGGATCGAGTAAGCCAGAACTCGGGTTTGCCGACTTTTTTTTGACGAGCGCGTCCTGGATTTTGGCGGTCCCGTTTTCGTGGGATGTCTGCAGCGGGAGCCCGCGTCTAATTTCAGATTGGGTCTCGTCATTTCTATGATGGCTTCCGTCAGGCCAACCCCAGTCCCCCGTACCCGCGTCTGACGTCTCCCCGATTTTGCTTCATGTCGACGTCGCCGACGTCGCCGGTGCATCGCCGGTGCATCGCCGATGCATCGGCGGCGATGCGTCGGCGATGCGGCGCGACCCTCCGACCCAATCTACTCGCAAGGGTGATCATTGGTGCGCGCCCCCCAGGGGGTGACCTCTTCCTTGTCCCCCCCCTCTCGAAGGGGGAGGAGGAGGAGGAGGAGGAGGAGGAGGAGGAGGAGGAGGAGGAGGAGGAGGAGGAGGAGGAGGACGACGAGGACGACGAGGACGAGGACGAGGAGGAGGAGGAGGAGGAGGAGGAGGAGGAGGAGGCCTCTGCCCGCCAGAGCGGTCATTGGTGCGCGCCCCTCGGATACCTCGCGGGGGGGGGGGGGACCTGTGTCCCGAGCATGCAGGCCGCCTGTGCTGGCGCGTCGCCCGCCGCGAGCGGCAAGCCGCCAGAGGCCACTCTTGCCCCCTGACACGCTCCCGCCGTGAAGAAAACTCGTGGTTGGACAGACCTCCTACCCTGACACGTCGATCAGTGAATTGGCCGTTGTCGGTTCGCGAGGGGGCGTCGCGGCCGTCATTTTTTGCGGGTCCAGGCCCGTCGGGTTCGGTCCCAGGCCGTTTTCCCGAAAGGGAGGTTTACTACAGGGAGGTTTGTCCACCGCCGAAAAACGGCGGGAGGGGTTTTGCTATCTGTCCGGCCTTTGGAGGCCTTCGACGGGCCCCGGGACCGCCTGCAAGCCATTCGCGATCACGAGCCGGCCCCGAGGAAGGGGTCGGGCCTGGCGTCAGGGCCTCGGGCCTGGAGTCGCACTTGCGTGCATCCGACACTCCCC